TCTTCCTCTATTTTGTATGTGGGACGCCACCTCAGCATGGTTGACGAGTAGTGTAGGTCTGCACCCAGGATCTGAACCCACAAATCCAGGCTGCTGAATCAGAGCAAGTGGAACTTTAACCACTATGCCACGGGGCGGCCCCACATATTCATCTTTTTATCCCCAGTATAGTGCTTAGTACAAGTAGATGCTCATTAAATGGCGGACTGATAAATGATGGATAGACTAATGGACAGGTGGATGGATGGATGGAAGGACACAGCCAAGCCAAGAGCTTGAAGCACCTGATAAACAAACATTTGACTAGTTAGGTGCTGTGCTGCCAGAGGGAATTGGGATTTGATTTTTCATGATTTCTAGGTAGAGTAACCATTTAATTTAGCGTCCAAACTGGGACATTTTTGAGAACGCAGATAGTAGGAGGGGTTTGCTATGAACAATTATGCCAAGACTATAGGCGTAAACCAGGAACCTCTCAGACAAACTGGAACAGATGGTCACCCTACTAGATTACCAGGGAAATAACAGTCTAGCCAGGAGAACAGGTTTACCTGCGTGAAAAGTCGCCTGTGCTGTTTTCCTGTCTGCAACTCCAGTTGCCGGTGACTCCAAACCAGTTGGTGCCTCTGTTTATATGGTTTATCTGTCACGGCTCTCATAGGTAGGTAACGAGGACCATTAGTATCAACTTCCGTTTGTGTTAATAATGTGCAGCTTTGTCATGGAAACAATTTGTAGACTGTTGTCTCCGAATAGAACATTACTGAGGAAAGCTCCTTAGTGTCCGTTCTAAAACTTCATCTACTCTCCAATGTGAGTCCCTTCTAAAGCCTGACCTACTTCCAGTGTTATCTTTCACTTTACGTTCTCTCTAGTGCCTTGCACCTAGCATGCGCTACATAAATATTGTTTAATGAGTCTGTGTACAGTTAAATGAAAAGGCCTTGTGTTTTCCGTCTCCAAGCCTTTCTTCTGCTCCCTACCCCTCCTCCCAGCCTCTTGAAATCCCCCCTTCCTTTTTAAAGTGCGCTCTTCAGTAATGCCTTCTCACATTAGCCTGAGAGCCACAGCAGACTCTGAGCGCTTGGTGTCCACACGTACCTTTTTTTGGCAGTTATAGTGCACTGCATTGTGACATCTCTTTGGTGTTGTCTTTTTAAACTTTTCTTGTGTTTGCCATTCCTAAAATTAGGCATTCTGTATGAAGACTCCGAGAGCCCATTACCCCATTATTTTAAATAGAAAAATAATAAGATACACATCAACCACAAACTCTCAACCAGTTTCCTAAAAGTAGTTTAAACACAATCAAATGCCTGTGTATAAATATCAAAATATCACATTAGATGTAAGATGCTTAAAACATTTCTGGCTGATCACAAGTAATTCATGTGGTTGTTAAGGAACAGTTATTTTGTGCACAGAATCATGCCTCTCTTACCACCAGCCACACTGTAGACCCAAGTATGCCCTTTGACATTCTGCTTTTGAAAACATCTTTATGTGACTCTGATGTTTCACCAGTTGTATTAACATGTAACTGGAGACTTTTTCCACATGTGGTTTTGTTTAAAAATGTAGTATTGAATTTTGGTGACATACATATACATTTTTCCTCTATAAACATCAGGAAAAAATTATTATATTAAGAGATATGTGTGCTGTGTGAAGTTGGTATTAAGCAAGAACAAGCACCCCGAATAGCTAAAGCAATCCTGAGAAAAAAGAACAAAGCTGGAGGCATCACAATCCCTGACTTCAAAACATACTACAGGGGCCAGCGCCGTGGTGGAGCGGTTAAGTGCTCATGCCCCACTGCTGGCGGCCCGGGTTTGGATCCCAGGTGTGCACTGACACACCACTTGTCAGGCCGTGCTGTGGCGGCGTCCCACATAGAGTGGAAGAAGGTGGGCACGGATGTTAGCTCAGGGCCAGTCTTCCTTAGCAAAAAGAGGAGGATTGGCATGGATGTTAGCTCAGGGCTGATTGTCCTCACAAAAAAAACAAAAAAAAAACCAAAACATACTGCAAAGCTATAGTAATCAAAACAGCATGGTACTGGTACAAAAACACACACACAGATGAATGGAACAGAATTGAAAGCCCAGAAATAAAACCACATATACAGACAGCTAATTTTTGACAAAGGAGCTAAGAAGATACAATGGAGAAAGGAAAGTCTCTTCAATAAATGGTGCTGGGAAAACTGGACAACCACATGCAAAAGAATGAAAGTAGACCATCTGCTATCGCCATTCACAAAAATTACCTCAAAATGGATCAAAGACCTGAAGGTGAGACGTGAAACCATAAAACTCCTAGAAGAAAATATAGGCAATACACTATTTGACATTGGTCATAAAGGAATCTTTTCGGATGCCGTGCCTACTCGGACTAGGGAAACTAAAGAAAAAATAAGCAAGTGGGACTTCATCAGATTAAAGAGCCTCAACAAGGCAATTGAAACCAGGATCAAAATGACAAGACAACCCACCAGCTGGGAAAAAATATTTGCAAAACATATATCTGACAAGGGGTTAATCTCTATAATATATAAAGAACTCACACAACTCAACAACAAAAAAACAAACAACCCAATTAAAGAATGGGCAGAGGGGGGCCGGCCCCGTGGCTTAGCAGTTAAGTGCGTGTGCTCCGCTACTGGCGGCCCGGGTTCGGATCCCGGGCGCACACCGATGCACCGCTTCTCCGGCCATGCTGAGGCCGCGTCCCACATACAGCAACTAGAAGGACGCGCAGCTATAACATACAACTATCTACTGGGGCTTTG